CAACTTCAAGATATGAAGGGGGGAAAACGCACAATAGTGCCCATATCACACATATTTCCAAAAGAACATCCTTCCATAGAGTTTTTCATCCACCACACAGCAGGCACATGGGAGCCCATGAAAATGGCAGGACCCTGTTTCAGTCAAGCAGGTTGTTGTCCACTTCATGCCAAGGACATAAGTTCTACCTTGCTTTTGCAGTACATAAAGAGTGAAATAAGGAGGTTGGAATTAGAAACTGTCTTGAACCAAGTCTTATTCTCCTTTCTCCCACACAGAGGTTTTTCTTGTTTTGGTCGAATTCATTCAGCCGCTGAAAAAAGAAAGACAAAATTAAATCAGATTTTTTTTTCATCTTGCCAGCTTTAACTGCTGCTCCTCAAATATCTTGACTTGAGAGGAAATTCAACAACTAAGTCTACTGAGCAGCAGTCAAGGCAGCTAGTTATCCAGTCCACTGGATCAGAGGAAGGATGAGAGAGAGAAACCACGTTTGAACTAGAGATTAAAAAAAAAAAAAAAAGGAAATTTTCAAATTACTAATTCATAATGAGATCTTATCAACATCCTTGTCCGATCACTTTCTATTTTAATGGTTTAGGCACGCGTTGTTTAGGTGTTATATTTTAATAGTTTAGGCACACATAGAACATTGTTGAAACTAACAGGGCAGGCCTTTGATCAATGCCTGCACTACCAGATAGTTTTAGGGGAATAAGGATTGGGGTCCAATCATTGCATCAAAATGATTCTTTCTTATTCACTATTGCACATTAGTTATGTATGTATAGTCCAGCAATCCAGTTAGCAAATACATGGGTACAACTGGCATCCAAGAAAAGAATCATAGGGAAGCAAAACACTCAAAGGTTTTGAAACGCAAATCATAGGATTGCTGAAATGCCAGGTGACGTGAGAAACTGCTGGCACTCAAGAGAAGAGCATCTTTATTGTATTCAAAAGATCCTAGGCTCAGCCTCCAACATCTGTACATATAGGAAAGCCCCCATGAGAAACCCTGGAAGACCATCTATGAAGACCAGATGGTGAGGTGAATCATTTCCTGTCCTCAGGTATTGGGGGAAAAAAAAAATAGTACAGGCAATCATGATTTGGTTGAAAATGGTCAGGTAGATGAAGACTGCTGAGCATGAAACTGAGCAAACTCAGGGAGGCAGTGAAGGACAGAAAGGCCTGGTGCGATATGGTTCATGGGGTCACGAAGAGTCGGACACGACTTAATGACTGAACAACAACAGATGAAGACCAGCTTATAGTTTTTCTAGGCATCACCTTCACCTTTTTGCCTACTTCTTCCCACCCCAGTTGGAATTAATAGATTGCTATATGGAAAAGAAGAAACTTGGGAGAGAGAGGAGGGTGACAGGACAGGTCTTCTAATTTCATACAACAAAAGTAGCCACTTTCAGCATCTCCTCTCCTTTTCCTGAAAAAAATGCTGCTCAGCTATACGAATGCATCTAAGGGGAAGAGAACAAAAGTGAAGCTGGTAACGGCACTTCACGTGTAGTGTTGTGTGTGGCTGGCTACTCCTCACATCATAAGGTAGTTCTGCTTTTTGTGTACAGATGGAGTATCTTAATAGTTAAGTCTGATAATTGAAGTGTTACAGTAAACAAGGAGCCCCAAAGTACAGGCAGCCACAAGGCTGATGATACTGAGCTATTTGGAAATGTGATGTTTTTATAAAAAAGAATAATCTTCTGAGGAATAATGTAAGTTGTTCTGCAGACTCCAAGTGTACCTGGGGAAAGGTCTTCTTGACCTTGGGCCCTTTTCAACTCTATTCCAACTTCTATTTCCATTCTTGGGATGGAATGGCGTGAGTACCTATTGGGGTAATCCATTTTCCATTCCAGATTAACACCTGAATCTGAATAAAGTTCTTAGATGAGGACAAAATAGCATGACTGGTCTTGAAATACTTCCTTTCTAAAAGATTTTCTTGGCAAATCTGGACATTACACACTTTATAAACCGTAAATGCTATCAGCTGCTAAGGAAATAGACGCTGTGAACTATGCCAAGGGGCTCCAGTACCAGAAAAACCAGCTCTGAGAAAGAGAAATTAATACTTTCTAGTTATATGTTGCAGAGAAAAGGCAATACTGTACATGCATTTGTTTCAGCTGCTATAGGATTATATTCTATATATTTTAATTCTCATCAAACAGATAAAAATATCAGTCTATTGTTTAACAACAGTTCTAAGTGCATATAATTTGAGAGCAAATGCCCATCTAAACACATCATGTATTAACAAATGCATAGGGAAGCAGGGAATAGAACCAAGTTCCAAAAGAGAAACAACCAGTTCTTTAACATTATAATTGCCTTCCACTTGTTTCAAATGTCTACTTCACTTCAGCCAATCTGACCAAAACTGATACAGGAGAATACTGTATTCATTGATTAGGAAACATGCAAATGTGCTCAGGTTTTTTTTTAAAAAATGAAAGACTGATTCAAATTGGTCCAAATCTCATAAAAATATTATGGTATGGAATGCCATTCAAAGCCTTCATTGAAGAAGCTGATGTCTCCCTGTAATATTATCTGCTAACATAGGCATGTGTTTGGTTAGTCCTGTACACATTTCTCATGGGTCAAATTAAGATTTGCATTGCAGTATTGCTTAAGAGAATCCAGTGCACCTTCCAAAACTGAAATGTTACTTTTTAAAATCAATACAGACCTGTATTAAAAACATTGAAGAAATGACTTTAACAGTTATGCTGTCTGAAAAGGTATTTTTAGTTAGCACCTGCTGTATTTTATTTTTTTAGAAAAGTGCTTATATCAAAATAGAGTTGTATTACAAACTCTAGTAATGTCACAGACTAAGTAATGATTAAAATTAGAAAATTTGGATTTGTAAAACAAAAACATAAGTCAGTAGTACAGATTTTATTTTCTTTTCATCCCCCAAATATGGTATGATTTTAACAAATTTGCAAAAAGGGATTTAGCAGAACTTGCAAAAAGGGTGTGTGTATATGTGTACGGAAGCTTCATAAACAGTGGTATAGTTTAGCTATAAACATTCTGAATAATGGTAATTATTTTATACATGCTTAGATAGATATACATGCCATTGAATTCATTGGGACTTATTTCTAAATTAACATGTGTAAGATTGCTCTGTAAATTGCTACGGTAACTTGTTTGTGATTTATTAGACCTAGCTGAAATAACAGTATTTCACAAGCAATACCAAGAATGTGATACATTACATAACTTCCCAAAAATTGCTAAGGGCAACTTAACAGAAAGTGAATTTATCTATTTAGAGCTGATGTGCAGATTGGCATCACAGTTCATGCATTCCAGTTTGTTTCTAAGACTGTGTTTAATATACTTCCTGTGCTATCACAATGTTCAAACTGAAGGTGACACTGTGCTTTGCATAACATCTTTATAAATGTGCAGACACACATACGGCCATAGCTATGCACAAGTTAAACCATAAAATATACGTTTAAACAGATGCTATATCCCACCTTGTGAATATTAACTGAGGTTTGAAGGACTGACTTGCATAATATGGCCTTTAGCTTGATTCATCTGCTTATAATTTCTGCCATATATATATGGCAGAAATTACAAGCTGATGAATCAAGCTAAAGGCAATATTATATTGCATATATATGGGTGATCCGATAGTTGATTGCTCCTCCACATTTACAGCCACCCGAGTCTGGAAAACTGTATGAAAACCATTCTTCTTAGTATTCCACTCTTCTACGTAAGGGACTATACAGGTGAACAGTTATGTCAGCCTCCCACCTTGAGGTTGGAAGATTTACCACCTCTCAACTGAAAACTAAGGCCACCTTAACTCCAACAGAGATGATGTATAATCAGATGCTGTTGCTAAGCATACTTATTTGGGAGTAAGCCTAGCACTCCATGGACTTACATCTTAAACATTTCTCCAAAAGTATATGTGCTTAGGTCCTCAGTCTAATTATTCCAGTTTAGATACATTAGGTATGATTTGGTCAAATTAAGCACTTGGAAAACTACTCTTTTTCCACAAGATGGGGTGTCACTGAAACTCATGGGACGTTATGGCTGGGTTCATGGGTTAAGCCATGATTGGTTTAATAATGGTGTGTTGAATAAGCCACAATTGGCTGGGTTCACAAAATAATCTGAGCAACAGTGAAACAATCCATATTTTAATTCAATGCAATATGTGATTTCAGTTTAAGATTCCTCACATGCGCCTGGGAGTAATTCTCACTGAGTTGCCAAAAGTAATGTTTTCATAGATTCAAAAAAAACTGCACAAGTGCCCATTACTTAGCAGCAAGATCCTGCTCCCAATTTCAGTGATTGTTCCAAGAATCAGTGGCCATTTAGTCCTTTGTCTTTCCACTTAGAGCTGTTGTACAACCACCCCAGGTAACAAGCAGCTGTGTAAAATGAGATTGTATAATAAAAGAGACGGCTGTTGACATGCAGTTTAACAAACAAGTGCAAATTATTATATCTTTGCATTTTCCTAGCCTGCCTAAAAATAAACATTTCCAAACAAATGTGTGTTTTTTTTTAAAAGGACATTCTTTCATATTTTGCACAATTTTTATCAAAAAGGAAAGTACCTTCATCCTGTCGTGGGCTTAATTTCCATATTATAAGAGGATAATAGCCAGGTTCAGCAAAACAGAAATTCATGTAAGAACATTTATTGAATTGTTTAACAGTGAAAACTCAGTTCATATGCAATTTATATGAGGTGAGGGTCCTTAAAAACACCAATTTTCACATAAATTGCAAATGCTTGTATCTTTTACCAAAAGCAAAACCATACAAGTGGTTTGCTCAAACAAGTAAAGAGCAAGCATGCAAATACTTGATTTTACTTGGCTAAGGGATTTGATTTTACTCGGGCTAAGGGTTTTCCCCTTAGCCAGGTAAAATCAAGTATTTGCATGCCTTGCTCTTGCTTGTTTGTACAAGCCACTTTTCTAAATATGTATGCAATCTATAGGCCTCTTCACAATTAGGAGGCATAAAGACAACCTTCTAGCAATCAGTAAAACATTTCTCTCAAAAAAAGTTGAGGCAGTCTTTGTTGAATGGTACTTTTTAATATGCGCTCATGCTTTGAAAATATCAGAGGGGGAAACAAAGAGGGAAATGTTCCTTATCTTTTTAGATGCTGAGAAATATCCAACCACGAACTGGTAGTGAGTTGCAAAGAAAACAGGCTGGAAGGTAGTAACGGGTTTCTTACATATAGCCTGGTACCATGCACCTCATTCATAATAACAATAATGTGAATGTTGTGCAGGGAGGCATAATTCTCTGCACATGTGAAGTCTCTGATGTCTAGGTGAAAAGGGGGCAGGAAGTAGATGGAGGGAAGGAATAAAGCTAAAGTCTACATTTCATGCATGGCTATCATGCATCAGGCCCACTTCCCCATAGTGTATCTTCAGACATCTGAGTTGGAGTTCAGGTTTGTTAGCCTGGGATCTGTGTTGATCTCGTACCTGTAGTGATAGCCCTCCATGTGGTCTCTACAGGCATCTCTGATATTATACATCCACTTTTTGATCCCCTTTCGGTTCAAATATAAAACCAGAAGGAAAATGGCACCAATGAGGGCCAAGACTATCCCAAGGAAGACGTAAGAGGTCTGCAGCGGGGTCTGGTCATCGATAGGAAGCAGGCAGCTGAGCTGTGACACATTGATGCTCACCAAAGAGCGCTCTTGTGACTCCTGGGGATAGGAGCACTTGAGGGCCCCTTTGGCCTCCACCTGCTTGTTCTCCTTCAGCCAGTTCACCAAGTCCTCGATGTGGCAGTCACAGACCCAGGGGTTGAGGCTGAGGTTGAGAGCCAGCAAGGGGAGGCCCTGCAGCTGCTGGAGGGTGTCATTCCTCAGGGTCTTCAAAGCGTTGCTGCTGAGATTGAAGCTCTGCAGCCGGCGGAGGCTCCCAAAGAACACGTTATGCAAACTCACCAGAGAGTTGTTATGCACATCCAGGTGCTCCAGATTGGGCAGCGTGGAGAACATGCTGGCCGGCAGATAAATCAGATTGTTATCCGACAGGTCCAAGCGCTTCAAGTTGAGAAGCGTGCCCATCTGGAGCAGCTCGGCAACGAGGAGCACGATGCTGTGATTGTAGAGGGAGTTGCTCAAGTCCAGTTCCTCCAAGGGGCTGCTGGCATTGCCCAGGGCCTTGGGGCTGAGCCAAGTGAGTGCATTATCACTCAGGTCCAGCTGCTTCAGGTGGGGCAGCCCTGCGAAAGTCTCAGCGCCCACCCGGCTCAGCTGGTTGCCCCTCAGGTTGAGGCTGCTGAGCTCCGAGAGAGAGGCGGAGAGGAAGGAGGCAGAGGAGAGGTTCCTGATGCAGTTACTGGTGAGAAAGAGGTCCTGCACGAAAGGTGGCCACTCGGGAGGCACCTCTGTCAAATTCTTGTTGATGCACTTCACTGTTTGGGCTGCCTCGAAGCACTCACATAGCGCAGGGCACAGGGCGGTTGGCAGTCGTGGCTGCTGAGCCCAAACCCAGCTGGAGAGGAGCAGCAGGAGCAGCAGCTCCAGTCCCCCAACTCCTCGCCTCTCCCCACTTAACGTAGGGGGTGCACAGCCCCAAAGAGAGCACCCCAGCATCACCGCCTCTTGCCAGGGCCTGTTCTCCTGTGGTGCTCCCTGGGCTGGTTCTGTCTCCAAACAACCCTTAGCTCCAGCACTCCCTGGAGGGCTGCTTCTTGGTCAAGCTGGAAGGTGGAGAAAGGAAGCCTGGAGGGAAGTCACAATTTCTTCCACACAGGCAGCTGGGCTGGGACACCGCGGTCTTGGAAGTAGAGGAGCAGCCCCAGGGATGGTCGTTTTCTGTTTCACGTCCGGCCACCCTTAAAAGAAGCAGAAACAAAGGGGAGGATGAGAGGAGCTGTTTGAACCGAGCCAGGCTGGGGAAGAGATCATGCTTTGCTCTAAGACCCTGCCTTCCTGGATGCTGCCAGCACATCCCTGCACACCGTCTCAAGATCATTTCCTCCTGCCAATGCCATCCCTTGAGTCAAACCACCAAACAGCCTGGACTGCAAAAGAGAGAGAGAGAGACGGAAAGAGAGATAGATGGAGAGAGAGGTCCTTAGATTTGTCTTGATGTATTACAGCAAGTTTTGCCAGCCTGCCTGTGTCTGACAGAGCCACACCCTCGGGCAACCTTCCCCAGCAGGGAACAGCAGAGGATAATGGGCATTGTAGTCCAAATACCTGGAGGGCATCTGGTTGGGGTATGCTTGTTTATTTGCTTTTAATAGATTTCTTTTCCTCCTTTGCTCAGAAGCTCAAGATAATATCTATAGTACTCCCTCTTGCAATCCCCCCAACAACCTTGTGAGGTAGGCTGGACTAAGAGCGGCTGGCCAAAAAGTCATCAGCGAGCTTCCATGGCTAAGAATGGCCTTGAACCTGGGTCTCCTTACCTTAACCACTATGCCACACGTTCTCTCCCTTACAACTTCTACAGATAAAAACATGTCCGTGCGCCTGAATTGCTGCTACTGGGTAAAACGCTAGGATTTCCCTCCCTCGCCCTTCTCTGCCGGCATCCTTTCAGAGGACTGGAAACGCAGCGTTGGGTTCAAAGGATTTGCTGTGGGCCAGCGAGTTACTCTAGTTCTTGTCCCTCAAAGGCCATGCTGAAAAGCGGAGCCTTAATCCGCGTTCGCTTTCAGAATTACGAGTTATGGTTTTGTTCAACCTAAGGAACACACTGGAGAAATCTGCAACTTTTCGCAAATCCCCTCCGTTGCCAAACCCGAAAGCCGCCGCTTTCCTTATTCATCTCCTCCCCTTCCAACTTTTCCAACATCCTCCTCCCCGCCACACCCCAAAAACAAGCTTCACGCCCGGGTCCCGGCGCTTCGACGTTCCCAACGGGAAAGCCAGCCTTCCCTCCCCTTCGCCCTACGGCTACCTCCAATCCTAGGAAGGCAATGCCCGCGAGCTCCAGCGGTTGCGTTTCCAGAGGAAGATGCGCGCGGTCGAACCGTAGAGCGAGACATCCCCCGCCCCTTCAGGCGGGCGTAAGCGGGGGCTGAATCAACCTGGGACGAACTGAGACCGGACTCGTCTCCCTCTCTTCTGGGGCGGGAGGGCGAGGGCATTTAGGAGCGGGTTCAGCCTGCAAGGCTCAGCCAAGGAAAGGAGCGGACGCGAAAGCAGTCCTTCCTCGCTTTCCCAGCCCCCGCCAGCATCAGCTTACCTGCCTCGCGCCTGGGCTTCTACTCCGCCAGTCCCGCGCAAACTCCCGGGCCGACTGGGAACTGCACGGCGCAGGCAGCAACTTTCCCTGCCCCCCTCTCTCCCGCCCTCCTGGCTTGCCTAGCCCAGCCTCCGCTGCAGGAGAAGCCAATGGTAGCCGCGGCCTGCGGGAGGCCGCCCGGCTCCGCGCACCACACCCTCGGTGGCAGCGGGCGCTTCTCGCCTCCCTGCAGCGGTTTCCCTTGCAAAGAGGTCAGGTAGGGCTGGTCGGCCGCCGCCGGCGCCGGGTTTGTAAGTATTATGCCCGACCTTACAGTGGGACTGCCAAGGGCTCACGGGAACGGGAGCCCTCTGCGGTAAGAGGGAAGCCCTCTGCACGAACTCAGAGGTACTCGTTATGTGTAATCGCGGCATCGCTTTACAGAGCGGAACCCTGGCATCTAAGAGGGCAGGTTTATGTGTTGACCTCAACGTGGTGATCACAATGCTCAGAGCAATGCACAATGCCTTTCATGTGTCTCTTCACAGCAGTCCTGCGGGGTAGGTTAAGCTGGCAGAAAGATAACTGAGCATCTAATTCAGCCACGGGCACCCAGCGAGCTGTGACCCCAGGATACTACTGCCATAACAGGCTGGGCACTATTCTGTGCTGGGTAAACTTACCCTGCTCGAAGCAACATTCTGGCTGGTACTGTAATTCTTTGTAGCCGCAACTTTTGGTAGAGTCGTTTAACCCCACTGAGAGGTCTGACTCTGATCAGGGAAGTTTGCTGAAGCAGTGGGGAGATTTATATACTAATTAAAGACATATGGGAACTGAAGATGGGTTAGGTGCTGTGTTTAGCACAGCTCTGTTCTTTTTGTATCTAGGGAAGAATGGAATAAGGAGCTGTTTACACAAAAATCAGAGTGTTCCCTGTACCCAGTGGCTGTTGCACCTTAAACTTTATGCATAAGAGCAGATTCTCCTGTGCCGAAAGCCTGAAGACTTTCTACCAGATGCAGAGATGTAAAAGACAAGGTTAAGTTGTAATTGTGGAACCAGTGTCCCTCCATATTGTTTCCAGAAGGATGGAAAGAGGTGGTGTACTTGCTGCTAGACCTAAGCCAGAAGACAAGTTTTCTGCATGCATGCCTGAGATTACTGTCATGCCCATGTCAGCTCAGGACCAGGTGACCCTCCAGATAAGAAATGATTTCAGTGACTCCTCTTGCATTCTTCTTTTGTCTATGTTTGGGAAAAAAAAAGTTTTCTGTCCTATTTCATGACTTTGCATTCATGATTGACTTCCCACCTTAGAAGATGAGTTTCCACAAACGGATCTGATCGTTGTCACAAGAGGGAATCGAACCCTCCCTGTAAAGGTATAGTTGAGAAACTTTATTCCTGGTTCCTATAAGGGAAGAAACCAATATTTTCTAAAGGTATTTAAAGAGAAAAAGATCAGTTTCTCTTGAAACAATATTCTCTCGGAATGAGTTGGGGTCATTTGAGGAAATATTTGGAGCGGCTTAGTTGGGGGCACGTCTATAGGTTCTGATCAGGTATTTTCATACATACAATTTGGACACTGATGCCTATTCTGTCACAGATTAAAAAAAAAAGTTGGGACATTTTAAACCAGTTCCTGAGATCTGCAAGCGCTGATAGAGGGTAATATATGTTTCAGCCCATAAGTGAATGATTGAACAATTAGTCTGTGACAGGTGTCCTCTGCCTCCCAAGCCTAACACGTCAGTCAGTTTCCCCTAAAGCTGGCCCTGTTTCTCAGTTGTCTTAAAGAAATGGAGGAAGAAAACTCTATGCGAATGATCCTTTATGATCTGAAAGCTGAATGATAGCCTGGCTGTATATGTGGGTACCAGCCGGGGTGCAGGTGGAAGTGGGCGGGGGACAATGACAAAATGTATATCATAACAGAAATGCTGCCTCAGTGTTGACTGCAAGTACATAAGCGGTGGAGCTTGTGTTGTGCTGTCCTGACACACATTTCATCATTTTGACAACATCTTGGCTTGCTGCGGACGTCTCTGGCTGTACTGGTAGATCCATAGTGAGTCACTTATGCTCTTTTATGACAAGGTTACAAAGCCATTTTTAATGAACACGGTTCTTGCTTAATACTTTGGGGAGTTACATGCTTATCGACTGACTGGTGATTGGTCATTGCAGGCAGGGTTCACAGCTTTACAAAATCCCATTAAGGCTGTTTTTGGGGGGTCCGGCCCCACTGAGAATTGGCTATATACTAAAGGCTTTGTGGCTGACACCACAGAACATTTGTGCTGGCAGATTGGGGGCAATGCCTTTGTGGATACCCTGTTCTTCTCTTTTCGGTTCCTGTTGGGAGTGATGAAAACAAAGCTGCAAAAAAGGCTACATTTCTGAAAAAGGTGACCAGATGCAGCTCAGAACAAGGATGAAAGGAAAATAAATCAGGACCCATTAGTATGTCTCTGGACAATTTGTTGTACATAACAAGGTTTCTAACCCCCATTTATTGAATCATGGAACTAAAACATAACACTTCATCTTTCTTTCTTCTGAATTAGGTTTGTTTATTTATTAGATTTCTACCCTATTTTTCCCCCAGACCTTACAGTGGTGTACAGAGCACTTAGTCCTCTGTAGGTCCCCCCACCCCCCAAGCAACTATTTAATGTCACTCAGTAAATCTCCATAGCTGAACTGGGTGTCCCTGATCCCACAGCACCTTAACCACTGTGCCAGTTTGTTAAAACTGGTTTATAACTGGATATGTAGGTTATTCCAGAACATGACTTAAAAGTAAAGAATTTATGGAAGGCAGACATGTTAGTCTATGGTGGTAAAAAAATCAGGAAGCGTCTACTAGCACCTTTTCTAACATATTTTATTAAAAGTGAATGTTTTCATGAGCTGCAGGTCACTGCATTAGATGTATAGATTACCTAGACTGATGAAGAATTTAAATGGGATGAAATGGGAGATAGAGGGGAAGTTAGGTTGGTTATGCACATATAGGTTACACGAGAGAGAGATTACAAGTACCTTATCAATTAACAATTGCAATGGGTTAAAAGCCCATTGGGTTTCATGAGATCTTCTGAGATTTATGTGAGATGGGGAATGGGGAGAAAGAAGAAGATCCATTGTTTAAATGGTGGTTTGCTTAACTGGGCATTGGACATATTGGACTTTTATTGGGATCCTTATGAAAGGGGCTTTTATGGTCACAATATTTGTAGAGAGTTTCTAGAGGTAGCAAAATCCTGCCAGGATTTGCTTATCATTTTGTTTACATCCTTTGATGTTCCTGGAAACACATTTCATTCTTTTGCCTGGGGAGGAACCTCCAGTGATGTTTTGGAATTTGGGCAGGGCAATGGTGGGAGAGTCTAATGTCAGTGTGGGAATGAGCAAAATCACCTTGTGATGTCATTAGGAACTGAATAAACCAACTTCATCTGTATATCTATCAGCAGTGTTGAATCAAAGACTGTATAAAGTATCTATATTTAACTGTAATTGGATTAAGATAATGTCAGTTGATTTTAGGGACATAGTAAGCTAAGCTGGCATGTCTCAGAACTATATGTCTGTCTTGGAATGCTTGCAAGCCTATAATCTCTGGCTGCAAAAATCCAGACAGCATTTGATGGCATCAAAGAGGTAGACTTTTCTGAATCTCTTTGCTGCCGTCTAGTGGGCACCCCAGTTTTTGCAGTCAAAGTATTTGTATGGCAATAGTTCTCCAGAGTCTCAGGCAAAGTTTTTTTCACCTTGCCAGTTATTTTTTGCAATGGTATCTGGGAAAGACCTTTGGAAATGAGACAAAGAGATAACAGTCAGATAAGAGGGAACATAGCCCACAGCTGCATAGTGTGTGGAGCAAGAGGCTCAGAAGGCCCCCTCCCCAAGTTCTTAAGCTGTAAAGGTTATGGCAGGAGAATTGTACTTTCAGACTTGCAAGATTCTGTTAATGTAGCTTTACAATAAAGTAGACTTAGTTTATCTGGTTGTGTTTCCTGTCTGGTCTACCTGGTGAGGCTGACATTTTCTTCTTTGAAATACTGATGCTAGAGGTGGACTGCGGACCCTTCTATAAGCAAAGTGGCCTCTCAACACTGAATTGTAGAAGTTAGTCCGACATCTGGCATTCCAAAGGTGTTTTTCAAATCTTGGGGCTGCTCTCTTAGGTTCCATGGAGCAATGAAGTGCTTTGTCAGTTATTGGGAAAGGCTGGAGAACCAGCTTCAGTAATGCACAAGAGCAGTAATCTTCCCCACTACAAGACAGCCTTTTGCAATCATTTCATAATACTGAAGTATCAGATTTCTTTTATCTCCATTTTGGATCTGTCTTTTTCAAAGACTAGGCCTTAAAATAGTATGTTCTTCTTGGCAGCAGTGCTAGTGGTAGTGAAATGAGCCTTGTTTTATATTCTGTTTTTTTGTCATAGAAATTGTTTGCAAGAAGAGGGTTGTGCTTTTTAAGTTGGGGATTAACTTGAAACTTAAGTGTGCTGACTATCAGTGAGGATAGCATTCTTGAATAAAGCCCTTCTGATTTATCTTCCCCCCCAAATGATCCTGTTGGTTAGGAGAGGGAAGGGTAACCTGTGTCTTCCAGATGTTGTTGAACTGCAGTGCTCATCCCTTCATCTATATTAGCTAGGACTGATGGATTTCAACATCTGGATTACCATACAGTATACTGTTCATCTCTATATTGGAATGAATATATTCCAGTATAGTGGAATCCCTCTCTCTGAGCCCTAGGCTGAAGGAAATGGCAAGCCAC